AAAAGTCTTTTATTTCTTTCTAGTATTACAAATTAGTAATTCTCAAACTACTTAATAATATTATTATTCAAATTTAGTTATTTACATATTTAAACATTTTTAGGGTTCCGTACATCATAGGAAAATAACGGACCTCTTATAGGATCACTTGGTTGTCCAACCATCTGTCAGTCAAGACACTTTTTCTCAAAAACGCGTGAAGGTATCAAGCTGGAATTTATTTTACATAATACTATATTTTTTTCGTTCTTAAACGCTTTATAAATATATTGATAAAACATTCAACATTTCAACAGTGGTAGAGCCCGCTTTAACATCTTCGCACGAATCAGCCCGGCTCGTCCGGTGAAATACCACGAACACACAGAAGACAGGCGTGAAGTGGAAGCTATTCCGCGTTTCGTCTGATGAGTGTGCGTCCTATGTCCGTCCGAGTATGTCTATGGGCAACGGTCACTTTCAGCGATTTCAGGTGGCAGCTCGCTCGTTTGCCACCTGATGGTATAAAAAAGAAATCTCATCTATTATAAAATAAACAATAGAATCCTAATGTTTGAAAGTTCAGTAATATTTTTTCAATTTTCACTCACATTATTCAAAAATTCATTTAAAAGTGTGCTAAATAAATAATATTCATATGTAATTGAACATACAAACATACATACATCGAGTATTTATACGTAGCGGGGACAACCCATCTCATGTTCGTGTCTTGTCACATAAAATAAACATGTCGGATTATCCATGTGGAAGACACGACATACGAAACAAGATTAAAAATATTCATTTTAACATTTCACAATAAGATAAATTATACATCTTACTAATATTATAAATATGGATACATGGATGGATGGTTTGTTTAATATCTCCAGAACACATGGATGTCACTGAATCTTGGCATAGATGTAGAACAACATTTGGAAGAATACATGCTGCTCAACGATCTGGAAAGCGCCGTGCTTGTCCAAATCGTTAAGAAACCAGAAAAATATCTTAAAATTGTCACTTTTAAATAAATAACTTATGTTTATTGCAACTTGACAATCAATCGTTTTATATATTTATTTTTTGTCTCGTTTTTTATCTTTCTATTTGGTCTGAAAAACCGTTTAAACTCTGTTCTTTTTGTTTAATATAATTATGAAATGGTTAATAACGTCTGTATTTGTTAATTTGCTGATATTATAAATTAATAAGCGACCAGTACATCTAAACCCTGTGGGTTTTAGTACTGCTGTGTAACCGATATTTAATAATTTTTTTTATTTTTTATATCATAAGGTGGTAAACGAGCGAGCGGCTACCTAAAATCGCTGAAATAGCGAAGTGACCGTTGCCCTTAGACATACGCAATTGCATATGCGTTGCCTACCTTTATTCCACGGAGGAGAGGATGCACAGAGAGAAAATATTTTCCCTTTCCATGCATCCTCCCATCCGGAAAGTCCACTTCCACTTCCCATCCTTCCCTTATAAGCAAAAGGGTGGGAAGGGAGAGAGGACTAAATTAGGCCTCCGGGACGCACACTCATCAGACGAAACGCGGAATTGCTTCCACTTCACGCCTTCACACGCACTTCATTTGTTATGTAAAGTTTTTATATAATAAAATAATAAAAAAAACATAGACTACTAATTATTTTTTTTTAATACCGTGCGGACGGAGTCGCGACAGCTATTTCTAATGAAACATGTGATAATTTAAAATTTAAAATTACAGAGACATAGAAAAATCTATGTCTGAACTTCCTATCTTATATAAGTCTTTGAAAAGAGTCTACAAACGGGAGTTAGCATAAATTTAGAGTCTCTTGAGTGTAAGTTTTAAAAATTTTAAAAATAATTCCATCCGAATGGACCAATATTATCTTAACTCTGAGTAACTCGATTCTGTTAATTTAAATATCGAATTACGCGCGCAATCCGATCTCTGTTGTCTTTGACTTCTGGCTGAATTGTGAAAGTGCCTTTGTTTAAAAAAACAGACCTGTCAAAGTTTACTTTTTTAATTAAAAAAGAGTAAAGGACAAGTTTCGTTGCGGCCAGGAATAAATGACAAGCTTGAAAGATGTCAAGAAAAAAACGTGGTAATGTTTTCTCAGATGTTTGGCGGGAATTTTATCTTGTCGAATTAAATGTAAAATATTGTAAATGATTGTGAACGGTTTTGGGAAATATATTTTTAAATTTAACATTCATTTAGTACAAAAACTCAAAATTATATTTATTTATTTACACAATAACTCGTAACTACTGACCCTATTTAAATAAAGAGGTATTTCTGTCCAATTTTAATTATTTTTTTCAATAAAATGCATCAATTAAAAGTAAAATATAGTTTAATAAATATGCAAATCGAAATTCTCATTTTTCAATAAATATTTTCTCATCGAAATGTCATTTCTTCTTCTTTAAATTAACATAAAAAAAATATTTCGTACAGTCGACAAAACAAGTTCTAATTGGAACAACATATATTATCTGTACGATTATTCGCATTGTATGCATCAATGTACACTCAATTGCAACTATCTACAACACCATCTATCGGCTTTAATGTGAAACGAGAGTACAGACGAGCACACATTAGCAGTTTTAAAATTGAATTTATTTATGCCAGCTTTACTAATGTTAGTTAATCTTTTTAATATTATATGTATGTAGTTATTATATTTAACTAAGTAGAAAGCATTATCCATAAACAAACGCAACACCTTACCAATATTATAAATGCGAATGGTCGGACGTTTGTCAGATGTCCAGAACGGCTTAAGGAAATTTGGCATAGATTTAGAACATAGTCTGGAAGAACACAAAAAGTGTATAATAATGTTCAAATAGAATTTTTATAATAATTCACCCTTCATTCCAACTTTCGGACTCTATCTAATAATATCTAAAAGTATATCTTAGCTTGATAATAATATTTTGACACAGACAACTTACGTTTATTTATGAATATTTTTTAATCTTTACTTTAAAGAAAGACCCGTATTAAGTATTTATAATACACAAATCGAGTCCTTGGTAATCAACATCAAGTGCAAGGTCAATTAGTTACTTAGACAACAAAATTAGTTTTTAATAATAGAAAACATAATCATGACTACATCTTTCAGCGTATTTATTATTTCAGTATATCTGACTCAATGTTTCTTTTCAATATTCTTGAATATCGCATTGGGAAACCCATCTCGTAAAGTATGAGGTCAGAGAACGTAAATTGATAATTCACTGGAAGCAATTGAAAGAAGCTGATGAAAATATAACGCTTCTGAGAAATAATGCTACGAGCACGCATTTATATGGTTTTCCCAATTTCATGGTCTGTGAAATTTTACTTACGCGTAATGTAATGAAGTTTAGCTCAACAACAGCACTGGTTTTTAATAGTAAAATATTAATGTATATTTTCTCAACTAAATTCATATATATCTTAATTAACAACCGAAATATTCATAATTAAACTAGCTTTCGTCGGCGACTCCGTTTGCGCTGAATTAAAACATTATTAATACCCTATGTGTTCTTCCAGGCTATGTTCTGCATATATGTCGAATTCCAGCGAGATTCAAGAATTCTGTAAATACCTTCTAACAAACATCCATCCAGCTATCTAAACTTTCGCGTTTACATTGACTTCGTCCGTGTAGTATTTAAAAATTAGTAGCCTGTGTTTTCTTCCAGACTATATTCTATATGTGTGCCAAATTTCAACAAGATCCGTTGTGCCGTTCTGGAGATATCTACAAACAAAAATCTATCCATCTAAACATTCGCATTTATAATATTAGTAACATAATAACATGGATTAGTTGATTAATTTGGATTTAGAATTAATAATAAATTATTTATCACAATAAAAGAAAACAGTAATAATAACAATTAATCAATCATTAAAAAATATATTAACGTAACAAATAAACTTTTCATCACACCTGTACTTTTATATTTAGCATTTATTGTAGCATTGCAACCCACCTTTAAAACATTACATCTTGATGTTGCATCAAGTCAAGCTATTTTAAACTCTATTGTATTTTAGCTAAGGTTGGATTTATATCAAATATATGTACTCTTCAGTCTTGTTTTCCATACTTTATGATCTCCGCCCAATTGTTTTAATCGACGTACTCTTACAAGAGTAATTAATGTCTTTATTATACTGTTTTAAACAGATATGCTTGTATTTATTATCTATTTTATAGTCAAAGAATTAAATTCGCTTCCCAATTACGAAAATCGTACAGTTAACTATCACTCTGACGGGTTTCAGAGATCAAAATCCCCCTTAACACGTTAGCTGCCGGAATGATTTTTCGTAAAACGATTATTTATTTTTTTTTATTTTGTCCAAAACCATTTGAAAACACTTAAAAATATAGTAATACCTTATTTACATTGCTCATATACTTATTATTTACATATGAATGGAAGTATGGCACATAGTCCGACACGGCAGCTAACGTGTTAACAGCATATTGTTATATCTGTTATGTCAAAAATGACAGGGATGATGATACGGTTGTGTTTTTATGAGTGCATAGAGGTTTCAACCGATTTTGGTCTCAGAAACCTAAGAGTAAGAGCTAGAATTTAGTTAGTCATGACTTGATAAGTAATCAACTTTATTGCATTGTGTGTTTAACATTACATTTGAATAAAAAGGGCGGGTAGTAAATCTCGTGGACTGCACTTATGTATGAACTAGCTGTCGCACGCGGCTCCGTCTGCGCGTTATTAAAAAAACTTAATTATTAGCCTATATGTTCTTCAAGATTATATTTTACATCAATGCCAAATTTCATGAAGATCCGTTAAACCGTTGTGGAGATACCTTCTAACAAACATCCATCTAAACATTTATAATATTAGTAAGATTTAAACAGCTCAGATCATGTTTTCCACCAGTATTTTTACAAACGAACATGAAATGTAGAAAAACACATGTTTATTTACATATCACAACTTTATTTATCTATATAACTATGTCGTAATCTCTTCTATACATAGGTAATGCTTTGCCAATCTAATTCTCAGGTTCTTGCCAGGATACTTTTGGTGGTTTTAGACTTTCCTCATCAGTAGCTGAATCTGTTACATTACCCTTCCCTTTACCTTTACCTTTACCCTTCCCACCGCCACCTCCACCACCACTCAAAGGTGGCTCTGTCACATTGATCCAGAGACCTCTGGTCTCTGTTAAATCATAAATGTATTCTTGTTCTAATTCACTGTCGGAAGAATACATTGATGTATCCAGGGATTCTTCGTAATCGTCCTCATCGTCGATAACTTCTGTTCCATTGTTGCACCATGCTGTCACAATTATTCTATAGTAACTCGTAAACGTTAATAGTGGGATACGAATCTGTAATATGAAGTTATCATCAGCTCACTATACGTCCCCACTGAGGAGCCTACCGTAAGGGGTGACTAGGCCATAGTGAATGTTATATGTATTAAGCTTTCGCCCGCGACTCCGTCCGCGCGGTATAAAAAAAACATAACAAGTAACCTATGTGTTTTTCCGAACTATGTTCTACATGTGTGCCAAATTCAATTAAAATCCGTTCAGCCGTTCAGTTCAGAGTTCCGTTTCTTAACAGTGATAGAGCCCGCTTTAACATCTTCGCTCGAATTGTCCCGGCTCGCCCGGTGAAGTACCACGACCACACAGAAGACAGGCGGCAAGTGGAAGCAATTCCAAGTACAGTCTGATGAGTGTGCGTCCCGGAGGCTTAATTTACTCCTCTTTCCCTTCCCTAACTTTTTTCTTATAAGGAAAGGATGGGAAGTGGAAGTGGACTTTCCGGATGAGAGGATGCATGGAAGGGGAAAATATTTTCTTTCTGTGCATCCTCTCCTTCGTCGATTAAAGGTAGGCAACGCATATGCAATTGCGTATGTCTATGGGCAACGGTCACTTCGATATTTCAGCGATTTCAGGTGACCGCTCGCTCGTTTGCCACCTTATGATATAAAAATAAGAGATACATTCAAACAAACATCCATCTAAACATTCGCATTTATAATATTAGTAAGTTAATTGTCTACCTGAACGAATTGTGTGTTTATATTTAACTTATAAACAAGAAAAGTAAAGCAAATAAGCCACATTGCCAACGTTTCGATTAGTATTGCATCCAGTAGATTTTAATTGCAAAAATAATTAAAATTGCCGCATAAAACATAAAGTTTTTAAACACAAAAATGCGATAAAATAGAGATTTTTTTAAACTAATTTTAGACCTACATCATCATCAGCTCACTATACGTCCCCACCGAGGGGCTCAGACACCGGCACAGTTTCGGATTTTCTTACTAACACAAATAAAGCAGATTATGAACGTTGCGTCGTATCAGGAGGTAGAGATACACAAAAGAGAAAGGACTTAACATTCCTTCATTGAGAATGATGCTAAGGTTCTTAAATTAACATCAGATAAAACATTTTCATCATACTAACCTTGACTTCAATAGTATTTATGCCCCATACCATTGGATTCTCGAATTGATAAGGCATCCCAACTTTGACACACACTATGAACTTTTGATATGGAGAATGGATCTGTAAAGAAATTATCCATTGTGTTAAAGTAACCGCAGAGTAAACAGTAACTAAAGACTTCCTTAGTGGTCAATTAAAAGACCAGCTTCTATGTAGGATTATTATGTTGGTGTGAGTTAGGAAAAACATGGATAAAGCGAAATAACTAGAGAAGTAAGTAAATATTTAGGAGTGGAAATATCTTTACATTTTACTAATATTATAAATGCGAATGTATAGATGGATGATTGTTAAAAGATATCTCCAGAACGGCTGTATGGATCTCGCTGAAATTTGGTATAGATGTAGAACATAGTCTGAAAGAACATATAGTCGCAGACGACAACAATAAAGACAAATAATTGTGCAAACCTCAAGATAATACGTGAACATGGTAGGATTCCTCGTATCGGGGTAGATGTCGAAGAGTTCGTGGTAGAAGCGGTAGATATCTGCACCACCGTCACCACGGTCATAGCAACGTATACCACCCAACCACCAGTGTCCCAGCCAACCTGGCTCACGCTTCGGCAGCGGTAACACCGCGCGTGGTACTGGGCCAAAACCTAAACCAATACCAGCATATTTTTATGGGAGAACAAAATAGCAACATAACAAGATGGCGAACAAGCAAGCGGACACCTAAATAGCAAAGCATCGTCTGGCTAGAAACATCCGGAATCACAGTTGCGTTACTTATCTTTAATCAACGTAGGGAATGAACAGATATAGGATATTTCCCCTCCAACAAATGTATTTCCCCTTTCCATCATTTGTTTATAAGATAATGGTGGCAAAGGAACGTGGACTAAAATGAAGCCTCTATCACACACACTCATCAGACGAAACGCTGAATTGCATCCACTTGACTCCTGTCTATGTCGGCCTATTCATGCACCAAATCAATACTGGTGATCTACCATGATCAATCTTGCTAAATAATTGCCTAAAAGTGCAGAAACACCAACTTTTATAGGAAAAGGGAACAAACTGACTATTACCAGCCTTTAATAGAGTAATTTCTTGAAGAATCCTATGTCATGAACTGTCTTAGATCCAGGATTTTCAATAGGAATCAAACGCAACATTATAAAATCCAAAAGCGAATTCCGTATAATTTGTATTTTGTAATATTTGAAATCTGTCTCTATGTTATAATATGCATGTATATTTACCAAATGGATCATCCTTTGAAAATGAACCAATCGCCTGTCCTGATATGGCTGTGGTGATCCAAGGTACGTATGGGTTCATGAGGATGTGTCGGGATGGAGTGCCGGGACCGCGGGAACGCAGCGGGTCGGGACATGGCGCGCCTCCTGATGATACAATTTACATTTAAATAATTATCCTGAACATAAGACTACTAACAACTATTTCACACATAAAATCCACCAATTTATCTTGCGAACTGCTTATTCCTTTCTTTGCAAAAGAGAAACTGATTGTCAAAGAATATTTATTCAAACTTTCGTGAGACATTATAATAAACTGATATAAAAACGGCAGCACCGACTAGTTTCGAGCCCTTTGCGGGCCCTTCATCAGGGTGAATGGGACTGGCATTATTTCGCGGACGCGCGCGTTTAGCCGTTTTTTTATTAGTTTGTTTAAGAATATTTTTTGATGAAAACTTATAAATTAAGTTTCTTCTCTCGTCTGACGTCTCATTAGCTAAATTCAGAGAAGCATATAGAATAATTCTGTCTTTCTTTTCTTATTAAAATTGGAGAGAGAGAAAGTTTGAAAGTTAATTTCTTAACTGTAGCTATTTCATGTACGAGTAGACGTATCAATGTAGAAGAAGCGAGAAAATTGTGTCAGGACCGCGCCAAACAGGTCTGTGGTCTCTGCCTAGCTCTCTAGGTTACTGGCGTGAATTATGTTATTGTTCTCTTCTCCATCTTACCTTCAGCCATTGCGAACAAGTTCCAATGTCCAGTGTGCTCGTGTACTAATGTCGGTGCACCCGACTGCAGGTCGCAGCCAGTCGTGCAAACGTGACGTTCGGGCAAAAGACCGCTCTCGTTCTGCAAAAAAACAGCATAGTAGAAAAACCAGTAGACAAACAGTTGTCTTGAGCCGAATCTGTGTCAAATCTGATTTTCTTGATGATTTCTTAACAGTGGTAGAGCTCGCTTTAACATCTTCGCACGAATTGTCCCGGCTCGCCCGGTAAAATACCACGACCATACAGAAGACACGCGTCAAGTGTCCTCTTTCCCTTCCCACCCTTTTTATTCTAAGGTAAGGATGGGAAGTGGAAGTGGACTTTCCGAATGAGAGGATGCATGGAAAGGGAAAATATTATCTTTCTGTGCATCCTTTTCTCCGTCGATTAAAGGTAGGCAACGTATATACAATTGCGTATGTCTATGGGCAACGGTCACTTCGCTATTTCAGCGATTATAAGCGCTCGCTCGTTTGCTACCTTATTATAAAAAAAACTTGATACCAGCAAATAATTTTATCACTTACTGCATTGTCATGTTTAATACAACGTTCTCTGGGCACCATTCGAAGGTAAACCAATTCCTTTTCTTCTTCTAAAAAATCTCGAGGCACCTCTGCGAAAAACGTACAAGAATTTAAATCGAAGCTAACACCTTATCATCTTTAACCTAAAACGTAATTGGTGCAAACTTACCACTAACAAAGTCGACATAAATCAGTTTTTCAACATAATCTTTGAAAGGTCTTAACATAAAGTTTCTAAACGGCAAACAAACTGGTACCATATAATCTGAAACATTTGACAGATTATAAATCTATACAAACTTATAAAATTGGAATGTCTGTCAATCTGTATATTTCTTCGCAACGCCGCGTTTGGTCCGGATTATCTCCGGAACGGCTGGATGGATTTTGACGGGAATTCGACAGAAAAATATCTAATGAAACATATTATAGGCTACGTTTTAAATTCTGTGTTGAAGAAGTCTTATAAAAGTTAAAATCGATCCATTCATATAGGACAGACCATAAAAACCTTCCTACTATGAAGAGTTCGTTGAGAAGAGGGGATGAGCAGCTGGAGTAAGTTTTCAAAACCCTAAGGAATGGCATAAAAGAGAGCATATATCCAGCAGTAGATAAACGCTTATACTTACTAGACGCTAATGGTGTGAGCAATTTGAGCAACGCCACACTACTCTTAACTCCGAAATGCTTGTACTCTGGATGCAGCAACACATCAGCTATCGGCATGAGAAGAACTGCAGGATCACAGCGTGCGCCTGCAGCTAACTGCTTGATGGTATACCCGCATTCCTTTTCATCTCTCTCGTATTCAGGAAATACCACATTACCACTGTTAAGATAATTTAATTGGTAACCTTTGCTTTGCTTAAGATGGAGTTAAATTATTTCGTAATATCTACGCGGTAACTGTTTTTATCTTATTAATGCGAATCTTTGGATGGATGGATGTTTGTTTGAAGATATCTCTTGAACAGCAAAACGGATGACGATGAAATTTGGTATAAATATAAAGCATAGTCTGGTTGATTACATAGTCTACTTATGTTTTTTTCGCACGGACGGAGTCGAGGGTAACCGCTAGTATTGAATAAGCTAGCGCTTGCTCACCTACTAAGTGATGATTAGGTCGAAACGCGCCAACTTAGATTTACTAATTCTTTATTACTTTCACACTACTCATGAAGACCCCTAACTAACTTAACTTCACTTGAACACGTTTTTTTTTTATTTAAAGGACATTCCAATAATGTCTGTCCTGTTTCCAAGTAATTCAAATAACTTTCGAATTAATCTCAAGTATCGAATGTTTTAGCCGAAGTAACTCACAGGGCATAACCGCTAGGCACTTCTGCAGCATCCTTAGCTGTGGAAAGCACGAACTGTCGTGTGATGAGACTGACTCGTGGTACTCTGAAGTAATGTGGATTGCCGTTCTTCACTGCAAATAAAACAATTTTGTTTGTATACTGTAACGTGGCAACCAGGCAAGCAGCCATCTTCATACACCGAAAAAGTGATGCTACATAGACATCTGCAATTGCAGATGCGTTACCTACCTTTAATGAGGGGACGCACAGAAAAATAATAATTCCCCTTCCTAATCCCCTTCTTCAGTCAAATTTACATTCTCTTTCAATATCCTATCTTTATTAGTAAAGGGTGGGAAGGGATGGAAGACTTAAAAGTTAAATAAGGCCACCAACACCAACACATTACAGTTTGTAACCAAGAGAAGTTATTACAAAGGTCTTTACAATATTAGTAAGTGGAATGGTCTTACAAAGATGGAATATTTGTAGGAGAAAAAAGGAGAAGCATTTTAAAAATTGATTAAAAACATATGTCTAATTAGTTGGTAATAGCATACTTCTAGTCTCGGCGAGAAAGTAACGGCAAAAAGATAGATTCTTTTTTCTGTTTATACCTTCACCTTCCGGAGTTACTCTTTATGCTACTATAAACAGTTGAATCGCTTGCTATTTGGGATAAATAACTCACCATGTATATACTGCAATGCTCCGAGCCAGGTGAACTGTAGATCAGATATCGGTCCTTCGGCAGGCTCGTAAGCGGAATCATCGTGGCATTCAAAGCTTCCACATCTAACGTAAGAGACACCTAAAAAAACACAATATTATTTAGAAGCCGTCGCAAGCGAATCCTTGTGCACAAGAAAAAATAGTAGCCTATGTGTTCTTCCAGACTATGCTGTACCTCTATGCACATCCATCCATCTAATCTTTTGCATTTATAATTATAACATTACTATAAAAAGATTAATCGAATTTTAATCGAGACGGACATTAATTTGAAATTCGTTTTCGACTGTGGCAGACGCGATCACGCCAGTGAAAAAAATTACTTGTGTAAAAATTGTCCATTGCCATCTCTTTCAATCTCTTTGACAGAAAGAGACAGCAATAATCTCTAATAAAAAAATGTAACTTGCCATTAAATATTCCAAAACAGAAGAAAAACGTTTTAAACATTTGCTCACTTAAGTATCAAGACCACTAGATGCGGCTAATCAAATCAAACTGTACGATATTTGGTCTTTGAAAAACAAAGAATGCGTTATTTTTCCGCTAGATATGTTTGCGGTAAATATCCGTAAATATTTACTAATACTTGGACATATATCGACGTAAACAGTTTCATTGATAAATCACAATTCATTTGAATATTTCCAAACGTTAAACGGTTTTTGTTTATTACACTAGCGTTCGCGTGAAATTAAAAAAATAGTAGTCTATGTTTTCTTCCAGACTATGTTCTACATCTATGTCAAATTTCATCAAGATCTATGCAGCCTTGGTACCTTTTAACAAACATCCATCTAAACATTCGCATTTATAATATTAGAATTCTATTGTAAACAAAAATAAAGTGTACCAAACAGATCAATCTATGTAACCAAGTGGATATAATATCAATTATTAGATTTAAATCCTATAAAAGCAAAAATATTTTTTTTATAACAAAACCAGACGAGCGGCTTAAGAACGAAGCTTCACGCCAATGGACATCTGAAACAGAATACAGTACAATGAAACAGAAGATCTATTACTGGCCATTGACAATAGTTTTCTCGAACGTTTATTTATTTAAAAAAAATGGGATCCACCAGCAAGCAAAACTTATCTGTCAAAAAACATTTCAAAATTGGAGCATCAAGGGCGGTGTTACTTAACACACAAAAAAAACATAGAGACGAATTAATAACAGTGGTACAGCCCGCTTTAACATCTTCGCACGAATCGGCCCGGCTCGCCCGGTGGTATACCACGACCACACAGAAGACAGGCGTGAAGTGGAAGCAATTCCGCGTACAGTCTGATGAGTGTCGTCCCGCTGGCCTAATTTAGTCCTCTTTCCCTTCCCTTCCTTTTCTTTATAAGGAAAGGATGGGAAGTGGAAGTGGACTTTCCGGATGAAAGGATGCATGGAATGGGAAAATATTTTCTTTCTGTGCATCCCCTTCTCCGTCGATTAAAGGTAGGCAACGCATATGCAATTGCGTATGTCTATGGGCAACGGTCACTTCGCTATTTCAACGATTGCAGGTGGCCGCTAGCTCGTTTGCCACCTTTTGATATAAAAAAAAAACCTCCTTTTTGAAGTCTACTAAAAAGAAAACAAATAAGTAAACATTAAAGTCGCATAGAAACGACATACGTTTAATTTAATATTAATATATTCTATAAACGTAAACTATGAATTATTCAGCTATTCAAAGTAGTTTCTTGATAAATAACTTACTTTCAAAATCAACTTCAATCAATTGCATTGACAAAGCTTACTAATATAAATGCGAATGTTTAAATGGATGTTAGAAGATATCACCGGAATGACTCAACGGATTTTCATGAAATTTGGCATAGATGTAGAACATAGTCTGGAAGAACACATAGAGTACCTATTCAGTTTTTTTATTTCGCACTCGGTATCGCCGATGAATGTTAGTTGGTCTACATGTAAAATGCATTAACAACAGCATTGCAATCAAGATGTTGACAAGTACAAAAAACAGTTGTCAAACTGCTTACTAATATTATAAATGCGAATGTTTAGATGGATGGATGTTTGTTTGAAGATATCTCTAGAACGGCTCAACGGATCTCAATGAAATTCGGCATACATATACAACATAGTCTGGAAGAACACATAGGCAACTAATTATGTTTTTTAATTCATAGACAGCTAGTGTTTTTATTACCAAACCCAAGATTAACAAAGCTTACGAACTATGTTAATGCCCGAATGACGGTGGAGTAATTATTGGACTTACGTATTTTTATTTATTTAAACGTCAATTATAAAAAACAAAAGGAGTTTTTAACTTCATACCAAACAGAAGTTAACTTTTTAAAATTCAAATCACAAACAGGCAATGTCAAAGCGGACATAAGAACTGTCACTTTTCCCGCCAATAACTGTAACCGTTCATAAACTGTTACGCTCGTAACAGATAAATAAAATGTTTTAGCATACACATAGATAATAAAATGAATTCCATATGCTATCGAATTGGTATTGTTGGCGCCAGAAAATTACATCGTACTTCAATGTAGACTTATAAATCGTAACGCATAATTATTTGGAGAAGGCATTATGGATTAATCTATTAATTTATTAATTGACTTGCCTGCCATCTAGCGATTTTTTGCAGTACTTTGTTTCAGCATGTCCTCACCAAGAGGTTCGAGTTTACTTTATGTCAGGGTGACAAGGCCATCACACTGATCCACTGCGGATTGACTTTACATATATTGAATTTCTTCCCAGATATGTGCAATGTTGCGATGTTTTCCTTAACCGTAAGAATATAAGATTTAAAAAACTTCGGCTTGCAACGAGAAGCAACCTAAGAGAGTTGAATTATATTTTAATATTAAAACAAACGTATCTATGTTTTAGTATTTCATTTGTTAATCTTTGTTCAAATCATATATGTAAATGATGACCGCCTGCGCGACGTAATCGTTGGCAAATTGTCGGCATCCTTCCTGCAACACAACCTGCATTTGAAAGTAGGCTTTTGTTTGCATTCGAGATATACAAACTACATGTTATTTAGTCTTGAAAATAGAGCTGAATAATTACAGTGAAATGAATAAGTATATTTAAATAATATAAAATGACACAAAACTTTATTCCTCTTGGAAAATATCATCATCATCAGCCCACTGTACGACCCCACCGAGGGGCTCGGAGCCTACCCTAAGCTAAGGGTGATTAGGCAATAGTTAACCACGCTGGCAAAGTGCGGGTTGGTTGACTTCACACATATCTTTGAATTTCTTCTCAGATATGTGCAGCATCACTATGTTTTTCTACACCGTAAGAACGTCGGATAAATGTACATATGTAAATCGGAAATCGAAACACATGGGTACATGACGGGATTCGAACCCAGGACCTGCAGATTGCAAGTCAAGTGCTTCACCAACATTGGAAAATATGGAATATGGAAATAAAAAAATAAAAAAATTGGTAGTCTATGTGTTCTTACAGACAATGTTCTATATGTATGCCAAATTTCATCAAGATCCGTTCAGCAGTTCTGGAGATATTCAAACAAACATACATCTAAACATTCGCATTTATAATATTAGTAAGAAATTATTTCAACTTTCGTGAGACATTATACTAAACTGATATATAAACACGGCTAAACACTCACGTATATACGTCCGGTGGCGGCACCGACTAGTTTCAAGCCCATCGGGGGCCCTTAATCAGGATGAGTGGTACTGGTATTATTTCGCGGACGCGGCCCTCAGCTCACTCATATTAGTAATTAGTAAGATATAGTATGAATACTAAATCAATCCGATACTATTAATAATATATAACCATTTAACTGTTACGTTACCACAATGAAAACCACAACAAAACGGTCACAAATCTGAACCGTGCTTTAGTGGTTAGTAAGTTGACCACGTAATTATTGCTAATGACTACAGAAAGTTAGAAAACGTCGTGTCTACAAATTGTTTGTGATACGACTACGTGTCCATCCAATTATTGTTATTTTAAACTAAATCTAGATACTAATTACTAACTCGTAAACTTAATGGAGTACCATACAAAATTATCAAAACTTTTCTTACTAATATTATAAACTAGCTGTCGCCCGAGACTCCGTCCGCGTGGATATATAACTTAATTAGTGTAGCCCACATTACATCCATTTAAACATTCGCATTTATAATATTAGTAAGTTAAATAAAAAGCAGCTCTCGAAGGCATAAATTCGAAATAAAAAAAATGAATAAATAGTATCCTATATCCGTCTCCTGGCTCTAAGCTACCTCCTCACCAATTTTCAGCCATATCGGTGAAGCCGTTCTTGAGCTATAAATAGTGTAACTAACACGACTTTCTTTTATATATATATAAGAAAAAGAAAGTCTGGATTGATGTTAGCTGGCATCTCCAGAACTTCTGCATGGATCTTGATGAAATTTTGCGTACATAGAACATAGTCTGGAAGAACATAGGCTACTAATTATGTGTTTTCCTAAATCCGCGCAGTCGGAGTCGCGGGCGACCACTAATAATGCCATGAATACGAAAATCTGAATGGATTGATGGATTTAAGAAGGTATATCCAGAACGTCTTCATGTATCTCGTTGAAGTTTTAGCATAAATATAGAACATAGTCTCGAACAGTCTTTCCCAAAGTGAACGATAACGCCCCCTTGTGGGCGCTGCAGGTCTCAAGTTGCGGGTTAAAGTAAATGTTTCGTTTAGAATTCTCCGTTAATATACATATATAGGACACAATAATTAATTAATTTTAATTTTAAGTTATAGTGGTTTTTAAATATGTGAAAATATGGGGGCGTTAAAAAAATATTTATTCTCAAAGTGGGCAGTAGACAAAATAAGTTTGGGAACCACTGTTCTGTTCAGAAGAACACATAGGTTACTGATTATTATAATCCCGCTCAGAGTTATGCGTAATAGCTCTTATATAAAGAGGAAAGATTTAATTGTATGTTCGCATTTTGTTTTATATCATAAGGTGGCAAACGAGCGAGCGGCCACCTGAAATCGCTGAAATAGCGAGGTGACCGATGCCTATAGACATACGCAATTGCATATGCGTTACCTACCTTTAATCGACGGAGGAGAGGATGCACAGAAAGAAAATATTTTCCCTTTCCATGCATCCTCTCATCCGGAAAGTCCACTTCCACTTCCCATCCTTTCCATATAAGAAAGAAGGTGGGAAGGGAAAGAGGACTATATAAGGCCTCCGGGACGCACATTCATCAGACGAAACGCGGAATTGTTTCCACTTCACGCCTGTCTTCTGTGTGGTCGTGGTATTTCACCGGGCGAGCCGGGCCGATTCGTGCGAAGATGTTAAAGCGGGCTCTACCACTGTTGCATTTAACCTCCGAAACTACTAAACTGATTTGAAAAATTCTTAAACTGCTGGAAAGCTATTCTATCACAGGGTGACATAGGGTATATTTATTACTAGATTTCTTAATTCTCTATGGACGAAACCGCGGGCAATTGCTGAATGAAATAAATTCTATATTTGTATTTAATTGGATTATAAATAAAGTTAAGTAGATCTGTGTCAATTCTAAAAAAAATTAAAATAAAACACGCGCTAAATATCTGACGATTTATAGGATTTTCGATGACATAACTCAATAACTGGGTCAGCAGACGTAATAAAATTATGTTTCACTGCAGTGAGGTCGGGGAGTGAATTTCATTTGTTTCCTCTGAGACATGGCCTGGTAACCACAGTCAATTGATATAATGTTATCAATAACTTAGCTTTAATTTTATTGAAAACGAAAAGTTAAAATACCCAGATTTGGCTGACGAGGTTACCGCCATGTGGTGTATGAAATCGACTACCATTATTCCGATAGTCGTATAAGTGAATGGACTGATAGCGAAGAGCTTCGATCAACATCTCAAGAAGCTCTCGCTAAACATTTGGATTAAGGGCCCTAGACAAAAGGCAGTTATCCTAGAAACCGCACGCATCGTGAAGGTTCCTGTCTCTGCAGCCCTCACCACTGCTTGTTTGAATCATGGGATTCCGCTGCTGGTGGTGCTCTATTTTTAATATAATATATTATATTTTGTATAATTATATTAAGAATATGATAAATAAATAAATACAAACTCAGCTTTAATTTTTTAAATCTTACTAATATTATAAATGCGATTTTTTTCATTACAAGAACGACATCTACAGACTCTTGGATCGTACTCTTCTTTTGCTAAATTATTTTTACAATAAAAAATTTCTTATATAAAGTAATTTTTAAGTTACCAAAAACTGTGCTGTGGAGACATGAGCGTTAAGGGACCCATCCTCACAAGACCCTGCACGTTCTCTGCGTCTCTGTTCTAAATAAAGGTTCAGATGTATGTTAGAAGGTATCTCCAGAACGGCTACATGGATTTCGCTGAAGCATAGATGTAGAGCATAGTCTGGAAGAACACATAGGCTACTATGTTTTTTAATTTTACGCAGAAGGAGTCGCGGAAAACAGCTAGTAACATAAATGCCAAAGATGGATGCATGTTTGTTTGAAGGTATCTCCGAAATGGCACAACGGATCGTGCTGAAATTTGTCATACATATAGAACATAGTCTGGAAGAACACATAGGCTACTAATTAAGTTTTTTCTAATACCGCGCGGATAGAATCGCGGGCGTAAGTTATTACGTAATAAAGTAGCCATTTTGGATACTAACATACAGATAGATATTTTTGTATGTGTTTTATAAGATATAGGGGCTCGTATCAACAAATATTTAGTTCAATGCAAGTGTATGTAATTTTAAATCATTAGCATGCATTTTAACACGATGCTACGTGCTTTAGTTGAAGTATATTTATCATAGTTTTTTTTAGATTAACTTCAGTGTAGTGGTGTTTGTCTAGTAAAATGTTTAGTAAAATTTTAGTGTTAATAGCAGTTTTAGGATCTTATTTTGGTAAGGTATTTAAGATCGTTTACTTAAAATAGTTTTAAAGCTAAAGCAAGCAAATATATTCGAAGCACCGAATATGATTTTGTACCATTCGGTGTCAAGACTTTTAGTCCGTGGGGTCCTAGCACTTTAAGGCTTTTTAAGGAAATTTAAGTTAGTCATCACAGGGGATCGAAGAGCTGGCAGCTCGGACAAAGTATTAGTATAGCTATTCAAAGGGGGAACGCTGCCAGTATCTTCGGAACCTTTGCCTAAAGGGACTTCTTTTAATAATATATTTTAGTTAATTATTCGTTTTTAATATTTTATTTAATATTTAAGACAAATAAACCGAATATTTATGTTGTTAGAAAGTGTGCAAGTTTTCATCCAGAAGTAAAAAATTTAAACAAAAAGTATTTGTCAGAAGTGGGATTCGAACCCACGCCCACAGAAGTGGACTGCGACCTGAACGCAGCGCCTTAGACCGCTCGGCCATCCTGACTTGACAACTCAACCTGAAATTTATAATCTTGATGAAAGTAACAAATTTATGTTATAAAAAACTCATATTTTTTAAATTGACCATAATTATTTTCCAGTATCAGCCGCACTATTCGACTCGGAAGATGGCAGAGATGAATTGGATCGTATAGTAGGGGGAAGTAAAGCTCCAAATGGATCGGCTCCTTATCAAGTCTCATTGCGATGGTTTGGTGTCAGACATTTCTGTGGGGCCTCCATTATTACTACTAAGGTTATTTTGACAGCCGCTCATTGTGTTGACAGGTAAGATAAAATAAGAAAAACAAAAAATAAATCACCCGAGAGTTGTTAATATAAGTTTAATATTTCCAATTTTATGAATAACTAGCTGTTGTCCGCGAAAAAACTTAATAAGTAGACTATGTGCTCTTACAGATTATGTTCTATACCCACATCGAATTTCATCGAGATCCATTCAACCGTTCCGGAGATACCTTCAAATAAACATCCATCTAAACGTACGCATTTATAGATTTCGTGAGATTGATTTCAAAGGAGATTTGACAATATTATCAAAGGATGGATCGTCCCCACTCGCCTCGGAGCCTACCCTAAGTTAAGAGTGATTAGGCCATAGTCAACCACGCTGGCCAAGTGCGATGGATGTTTGTTATTACGTAACTCAAATAATTAAACAGATCAGGACGAATTTTAGACATAAAAATTACAACGTGGGATAGAGCATAGACAACTAATTGTTTTTTTTTTTAATTTCTTTGTGCAATTAAAAGTTGCTTTTATTGAAAGCATCATATTTTATCTATATAATCCTATTTAAGCAACATAACACACCCTTGCAAATTGATACGAACTCCCATATTCTAATCAGAATAAATTTCCCCAGGATGAAGCCACACTATTTCATGGCGATAGTGGGTACAAACCAACTGAGATCTGGTGGTACACCGTACCCGATCCGCAAGTTCGTACGTCACGAGGATTACGATGATCAACTGATAAAGAATGATATTGCTGTCCTTTTCACACTTATGGAGATGAAGTTAGGTGGTGACGTAGACGCTGTTGAATTGAACAATGAACCAGTGATGCCTGGTGAGAAATTGTTACTGACTGGATGGGGTACAACTTCTGTAAGTTATTGGTTACTTCCATTTAATCTTATCTTTGTGCCTAGCAGGAATTGTTAAATTTGCAAAATACAACTAAAATCTCATACTAACATTACTTAATCTAAACTAGCGGTCGCCCGCGACTTCGTCGACGCGGAATTAACAAATATAAACATAAGTAGTAGCCTTTGTGTTCTTCCAGACTATGTTCTATGTGTATGCTGAATTTCATCGAGATCCGTTAAGTTCTGGAGATATCTTCAAACAAACATTCGCATTTATAATATTAGTAAGATGCGAAAGTTTGGATTTTAGATGGATGTTTTCTAGAAGGTATCTGCAGAACGGTTTAACGGATCTTGATGAATATAAATATAGCCTATTATTTTTTTTAATTCTGCACGAACAGAGTCGTAGGCGATAAATTTTGTCATAAGTGACGATATGAAGAGTCTTGTTAGAAATAGTCCTACTAGGCCTAAAAAGTTTGTTAATAGTAATTTTTCAGTTTGACTTATTTTCATCATTTCTACAGATTAAGTCAGTAATCTGTATATTATTTAGATTATAATTAATCATTCTCGTATTTTAAAGTACTCATAACCTAGCAAGAGGCAACGTTAATTGGATATTTATAATTTTACTTCACTATAGTTAACCCCAAAGCGAAGATTAACCCGTTTAACCTAAAAAGTAGCTGTTTGTTATTATGTAAATTGCATATGGTAGTTACAATATACGAATTTAAAGTTCTACGGAAAGTATAATTAGGGAATTTATTTTGCATAAAATCGTCGTATATTTAAATATCTTTGATATTTTATTTTATCATCGTCACACAGATATCTTTTAGACATTTGGATTTTAATAATTAATATTATAACAATACTTTCTAAATATTTCTTTTAAGGAGACAGTTTTGATTGAATTTAATTACTTGTAATTACACAACACTTTATATTTTTAAATAGCAATTTCTCACTTACACATTTTCAGTCATATTTTTGCAGGCGCATCTTCAGAATCTTTTATCATACTTTACAATTCTTTATATATTTTTAAAAGTAATTTCTTTACTCTAGTATCCAGGCAAAGCGCCAAACGACCTAATGATGCTAGAATTAAACGCTATCTCTTTGGATGACTGTCGGGAAGCACATAAGAATATAAACCCAGTGTTCGAGTCGCAGATCTGTGCCCTCACTAAGGAAGGAGAAGGGGCTTGTCATGTAAGAAAAATATTTCCTCTAACATATAAACAACCGTATTTTCTTTTATTATGATTGTTTACTGTTTATATTTCTTTTTTTAAACTGAGGTCTCTCAAAAACTGTAAGTTATTCCACTTGCAAATAGCGCGAAATCAAAAAAATGTAAATGTTGTCAGCATAAAAAAAATTACAGAAAAGATCTTTGCATAAACACAGACGAAATATACAAGGATTGCATTTATTTAATTACTTTACTTCAGGGTGACTCGGGTGGACCCTTAGTGAGGGAAGGCAGGCAAGTTGGCGTCGTATCCTGGGGTATACCGTGCGCGAAGGGCAAACCTGACGTGTACACTAAGGTAATTTTAAACCAAAGAGGTTTTATATTTAAACTGGCCAGTACAATATTGGTGAAAATAATCTTTTTTTCTTTAGGTGGAATCATTTATGGACTGGATAGAAAAAACCCTGGCTGACGATAATGCAGATCATATCAAAGAACTTAACTTGAGAAAAAGTAATCGACACGTTTAAATCATGTCACTCTTTGAAATATCCAAATGCAAATGTACATAAATAAATTAGAAAAATATGCGTTGTTGTTTTCTTAAAATAATATTTGGTGACATGACAGTTAAATCTCCATTGTTAGTTCGAATTCTCACCACCGCTTCCAAACCTTAACTGACAGCGCTAAAATGGCGGAAATCAAAAAGGCACAAAATTCCACGATTTATAATCTCTCTATATGTAGAGGTCAGTGATCTATTCCTTACATATGTCAAAATAATTACAATGACATATGTCATTATAATCATTTAAACTATAGGAACTATTAAATAAAACTTTAATTATTAATAATGTATCTTTATTATACTAATATCACAGTAATCAGTCGTGATTCTATAATGTTGCCATTTTACAATCTTTGAAAACATATAATATATTACTTTAAACGCAGCAAACTACATGAAAAATAATATTCCAAATATTAAATAAAATTATTCAAAGATTTTAATATTACAAATATAAAGAATCTTTTATCACTAGGTCACCTTTACCCATTACAATTGTTTTTATACCTACGAAGAAAAATGACAATAACCATAGACAATTAAGTTTAAAAATAAACAAATTTCAATTGTTTTCCTACCAACATGTATTGCCAGTTATAGAAAAAGTTACTAAATGGTAGGAAGTTCGTGTTTTAATAATTCAAAAATTGTTAACATATGCCTTCTCCATTATTATTAAAAAATACACAACTAATTACTAACCTAAAGAAAATATGTTTATTTCTTATTATATTTAACTTATTATAAATATTTATTAACTTTTTACCATGTATTGTAGCTATAGTTAGCTGGCAAGAGCTGGATGAGAGTGGCTGAGGATCGTGCTCAGTGGTGTGCCATGGGTGAGGCCTAAGTCCAGCAGTAGACTCGTATAGGCTGATGATGATGATGATGATACATTGACACAAAAGTAATAAACTTAAGATTTTCACAAAGCATCGCATATCTTCAGGCTAGTGAACCATAGCAAACTTAATTTTACCGAATAAATATTATTTTTAATATCAACTAAACATAAATAGATAAAAACTTGTATTTAGATATACATGTTAGTGTTGCCAAACAATAACTCTGCGAAAAAAAAACGATCTATGATTTGTCAACCTACTCTTTGGCGGATTAAATGGCAACCCTACTAAATACATATGTTCGTCTCATTCTGTCCTGTTAAGATAGAAAAAGATAGCAGATGTTTCCCTCGAGTGGATGTACATTGGTAATTTTAACAATCCTTACATCATTTCTAATATATAAATAGACACAATAAAAATTAAAACCCTAATTTTAATCCATAAATAATCAAAGAATTCAAATATATCTTCATTTAATATGTATTCATAAAAATCATTAGAATATTGTATTTTACCTGAACTATTACTATTAAAATTAGCATCATCATAATCTCTCGTAAAATCACGACTTAAAATACCGAATTTCAATATATTTTTAGCATTTGACAACTCAGCTGACACTTCTTGAATATCTTTTGTCAATTTCTTGACGAAAGAGAAGCTGTCAGATGACATTGACGTTTGCGTTGTCAAGATGACAGGGAATTGTGTCGAGTGATGCGCAGTGAAGTTACCTTTTATCGATATCTTTTCGAAAACTACGTCCATGTTACTCTCCAATCTGAAAGATAAAAGATTTTGTGAATTATGATAAAATTAAAAAATCTATATAGAATAGCCGTTAAATACTATAATCGACAAGTTATTAACCGAAGTCGTATAGATTTATTATGTATTCTACATTATGGTCAACGGTTTTAAATATATCAATAAATTATTAAATAAGCTATATAAGAAGATGAATAAAATGGCGGAGTGAGAAATATCTATTTTAAAATATGACTACAACTAAACTACTAAAGATTACATACCCAAGAACACATGTACGTTTGTAAAGAGCAGCGCATACAACCAGCTTACAAGAGTCAACGCCTATGTAGTGCTCACCCGTTCTCCGAACTCCAGAATAAACAGACAGACCATAGTGAGCTTCAGTGGTCTTTGCACCTAAAAACAAAAATAAGTATTAACACACCACAAGTATAGGTAATATACGTAACTAAAGGCTAGTCTATTAAAAATACTACTAAATTAAAAAGAAATGAAAGTACGTTATTATTTATAATATACAACTGTTAGGAAGAAAATCCGGCATTATGCCGGTATACTGGCGCAACACTAGCCTTACTACTTAGCCTTACTAACATATCAACGTTTTTGTCCCCTCACTAATCATCCTGACACTTCACTTTGTAACGAAAGCGCGCCATTCGCGCTAAAGGATTCTAACTAATAATGTCTAAAACAACTTACAAAGGCTTCTAGTCTTGACGTAAAATTGACAACAAAATCCGCCATCGCACACAGTTTCCTGATACCCTGACAGACTCGCCTCCAGGTCTAGCGGTCTGATGATGTACTGGTTAGTATCCTCCAGTGGAATGTCACGTATATCGATTGGATTGAAAGATAATGTGATATGTTTATCTAGAAATTAAAAAATGAACTTAGTAATTTTAGGAAGAAAATCCGACACTGTGCCGGTGTACTGGCACAACACTAGCCTTACTGAAATGTCGACGTTTATTTCCCCTCACTTATCATTCTGACACTGAACTTTGTAACGAAACTGTGCCATTTACGCCAAAGGATTCTAATTAATAATGTCTAAAAGTAGTACCAGAAATATCTTGGAATAAATAACAGAAAACCAGTATTTACTAGTTTAGATGTAGATTTAGTAAGAAAAATTAATAACAAAGGGTTAAGTAATCATTAGTAGACTAACCGTCGCAGTCAGGGTAATTTAATTTTTAGTAACTTAAACAGCTTTTTATAAAGGTTTCTAATACTAAATCTAAATTAAGGAATCTTTTATTACCCCTTAGTGACCACACCAGAAAGAAAAATAACTATTGAGATAAAATATAATATCATACCTTTTCCATTCTTATTAATTTCCAAGACACCACCTTTGGACTTAAGACCTGCTTTACCAATGAAGATTCCATCATCAGATAAGACATTAACATCGGAAATGTACGCCAATGATGCTATCAATTGATTTCCTGCAAAAGAAATACAAGCACATATTAACATTCGTTTACAAGTATATTATCTATTTGAGAGTTTACTTTCACTATAAAAATGTATAAAGATAATTGTAAAATTAAAGACAGCGCCATCTACTTTAAAATGGACAAACATACTTTTGTATATTATATGGTACAAAAGAATACTTCATACAAATGTTTAGATGGATGGATCGATTTTCGTTTGAAGGTATCTCCGACTGAACGGATCTCTGAAATTTGTAATAGATATAGAACATAGTCTGGAAGAACACATAGGTACTTATTAATTTTTTTTTAATTCCGCGCAGACGGAGTCGCGGGCGACAGTTTGTCCTTAATAAATGAAAACTTTGTAAGGAAAGTATACCTTTAATGTAAACCATATTGTCTGCAGCTCTTCCAGTAATAATAACATTCTTTGTATTTCTTAAGCTTTCTAAGTCTTGAAGTAACAGGTCTTCTTCCATTAAGACTAGAAATTCTACGCCAAAGTCGGTGGTAAACGTGTTCTGAGATGTTACATTGCATGTTGCGTAATTATTCAAAGGTTTTGTGTAACTGAAATAATATTATTTTAATAAAAACAACAGAATTGTATATGATGAACTGCGGGGCTCGACAAAGTATGCGATACGATTCCATGATAACGACAATCACGTGACATATCCAAAGTTATCGTCAGTATTATAAATTTTTGAAATTCGTTATGTAATCGCTTCGAAGCGAATCCACTTTGTCTAGCCCCTTGTTGAACTGATTAAATTTAATACTTACACAGCAACAATAGCTCCTTTTCTATCAAATACAATATTATTCTTCATAGCTTCTACATTGCCTTGACATTGTACTTTCTGGTACAAATGCGTGACTACATATATATTGAATCTGTTCGCTAACAATGATATATCTCGTATCAACTAAAAGACAAAAGAAAAGAAATAAAAATTACGCTAATAAATATTTGTGTTTTGTTCATAAGAATGACTGCAAAATAAGAATAAAAAAGTATTAGATTTGTTTCTCTGAGGTAAGAACGCAATATTCAATCTCTAAGATCAATTTAATGATTATTTAATTACGAGACTAATTTCTTCCATTGGTGCTATCCAATCACATCTTTGTTTTAGACATCGTTGGTTTTGAATACTTTGATAGCACCCTTTCCGTAGTGTTTTAATTTGCACTGAAAATACAGATATATAATTACCTCATCGTAATTATCAGTGCAGTCCGCTTTCCCGTAAGTTTCAGAATCAGAAACTTCAGAAGCCAATAGTACAATATCCACATTCTGCAACAAAAAGACATATCGATAAAATCACACCGTTGATGTTGTTACAGCTCTAGTTATCTAATGTTTTATTTAAATGATAGATGGCGTTGTTCTTAACATAAAATGATTAGTCAAATCTTACTAATATTATAAATGCGAATGTTTAGATGGATGGATGTTTGTTTGAAGATATCTCTAGAACGGCTAAACAGATCTCGATGAAATTTCTCATACGTGTAAAACAAAGTCTGGAAGAACACATAGGCTACTAATTATGTTTAGTTTTTAAATTCCGCGCGGACGGAGTCTAGGGCGACCGCTTTATTAAAAATTAAAGTTGTAAAAACAATTCTCAGTTTATATCAAATATTTATTCAATAATTTACATAATAGTGTGCATATTGTGATATTTATGTACCTGTTTGGAAATTTCATTCATTTGAGGTAAATAATCTCTGAGGCCATTTCTTAAGTTACCTGATATCACTGTCGCCTTGTAAGTAACCTGTAATCAAAGAATATAATAATTTAAAAAGTATAACGATAAATTACCAACATAAAAGAAATGAATCTTCAAACCAATTTCCCAAATTTAATTTTATTCTTATGTTGTCGTGCGCGGGAATCACTTTAAATTTGACATTTGGCTTCTGACGTCACAACGTCGTTAAATATGACAAAAAAAATGTGTTACTATTTTTGTATGTTAAATAAAAAGCAAAATACATTAGAATACAATGTTTAAAATAAGACTTCCGTAAGTTTCCACTAATTTTATTATTATCTTACTAATATTATAAATGCGAATATTTAGATGGATGTTTGTTTGAAGGTATCTTCAGAACGACTCCACGGATCTCGATGAAATTTGGCATAGACGTAGAACATAGTCTGGAAGAAAACATAGGCTACCAACTTATTAAGTTTTCTTTTAATTTTTTTTTCTTATATCATAAGGTGACAAACGAGCAAGCCTCCTGAAATCGCTGAAATAGCGAAATGACCGTTGCCCATAGACATAAGCAATTTCATATGCGTTGCCTACCTTTAATGAACCTTTAATAAACGGAGGAAAGGATGCACAGAGAGAAAATATTTTCCCTTTCCATGCATCCTTTCATCCGGAAAGTCCACTTCCACTCCCCATCCTTTCCTTATAAGAAAAAGGGTGGGAAGGAAAAGAGGACTAAATTAGGCCTCCGGGACGCACACTCATCAGACGAAATGCGGAATTGCTTCCACTTCACGCCTGTCTTCTTTGTGTAATTCCGCGCTGCTACTAAATGAATATTTAACTAGCATCAAAGTATATTTGCATTTTGAAATCACGTTAACATAGAATATACATATTCAGTTACAAAATTACGTAAATTGCTTACATAGAAAAAAAAAACAATTGTTATTTGCTGAATGAATGAATGAATGAATGCTGAACAAAGCATCTGCGTCATTAGGGTAAAAACGTGATTAAAATTATGTAGTTATTTTAAAATATTTTTGTAAATATCGGCTTAATGTCTTGACGCCTATGGGCAGCGGCCATTTTGCTATTTTAGCCGCTGTTTCATTTGCTAACTTTATATTATTAAAGCATTAAATTTGTTATATATTATAATATATTAGACGATTGACCAAAAAAAGATTTTTTTTTATTTATTTCAAAAAACTATTTTGTTGTGTTTTCTTACATGATTTAATGCAACCAAATATTAACTGTACCTGAGGGAGACACAATTCTGAGTGCTGATATATAACTAAATCTTACTAACATTATAAATGCGAATGTTTCGATGGATGTACGTTAAAAGATATCTCCAGAACGGTGCATGGATCTCGCTGAAATTTAAAACGAATGTAAAATGTTTAAAAAAAAACATAAGCTTCTAATTAGTTTTTTTTTATTCGCGCGGAAAGAGTCGCGGGCAAAGGCTTGTCTTCAATAATCAAAATGTTATACGTTTATAAAACTGTTCACTGACCCCAGCATGCGTGACATCTTTCTCCTCTCTCCAATCCACAACTTTTGTATACGCTGTCCCTTTCTAACGCGATCTATCCGGCCCAATTTTTACTTTTTAAATCTTTCTCCCTTTGTAGGGCGCACGTGGGCAAAGTCACGTATGCATTCGGCTTTGTGCAAGGAGGTTTTTATTTTTAAAACTTCTTGGACAAAGGTGTGCGTTATTGAGAGAAAACAAAGATATTATTTTAGAAAGATAAAAGATGTGGGTATATCTTTTATAATAGTTTATTATTTTATCAATGTTTTGCTTAACAAATAAACCTTTGATTTTTAGAAACAGCTCAAGACGAACTAAAAAAAATGATACCAATTTTTAAGTAATTCCACTAAAAACACCCAATTTTGCATTCTCAACGCTATAAAATTCTTTCTTAGTACTCGCCATCGAAGTACCTAAAACAAATCTGCGCAAAATTTATCAATTTTATCAATCAATAACTATGTCCGTTATACTCGGATGGAAAATCACGAGATGTCAATTGTTCAATTTGTTCACAATTTACCCGCATCCTTCAAGACAATATAAATTACGATCTCTAAGTTACTATTGCAAATAGATATTTGTGTTGGGTATTAGAAGAATCTGCAACTACAAAGGACTTTAGTTTTAATACTGGCAACACTTCTTTTTTGACCATAAAGTAAAGTAAAATTTATTCCCAAAAAGATTATATACCTAATTAAATATGACTACACATTTCTATGTGTTAAGATTAATTTATTTGTAAGTATATTAAAATACTAGCGGTTACCCGTGTCTCCATCCGCGCAGAATTTATTATATATATCTATGCCAAATTTTTAACGAGATCCGTTCAGCCGTTCTGGAGATACCTTCAAACATCTATCCATCCAAACATTCGCATTTATAAAATTAGTGACATTAGTAAAATTAAGACAACAATTAGATAATTTCCTCTTTGACTCTCTTGAAGTTTAGAAAATAATATTTTAGGTGAGAAGTTTCGAATCCGAATTTTAAATCATTTTGCGCCACTCATGATACGAGATTTATATCGCTATCCGACTGTAGTTATTATTTAAATTACTTTGATAATATAAAAATTAAATATAAATGATTAAAATAAAAAAAAAATATAAAAATTACGTACCTCACTACAAACTGCCGAATGGTAGCACAAAAACAATAAAATAAATTTCAATAAAACCTCCATGGTTCAATTTAGGAATACGACGTGAAAAAAAGACTCAAAATGCAATCGGTATACGATAAAACACCATACGTTCGCTCCAGCCGGCGTTCGGCGCGCTAATGTCAAATCAACAAATTGTTACTTCACACAACATAAACAAGACAAGAATGCACGCTGTGACTAAGTTGACGTTAATTGAGCGTGTTTACGTGTTTATAAACACGCATACAGTCAGCTGTGATAAAATTTATTAATTTGTAATTAACTTATTGTTCAAATTTATTGATAATTTAACAATCTTTAGTGTACATTACAAAAACTATTATAAATGGCCAGTAACTAAAGTGTGGTAAGGTAATTTGATAATTCGTACATTTTACTTCATTTAATATTCTAGGTTAGGTTAGCAAGTTACACGAGTCGCGAATAGTTACATTTTTTATGTTCTGATTACTACTATTTAATAGATACGAATAACGAACATATATGCACGTTGCTAATAAATCATAAAATATATATTTTTTATTTTTCTTTTAATATTGTCCTCAAGTCATGTGTACTTTTATGGATCGAACCTACTCTAAATTAGGGGTGACAAAGCCTTAGTCAATCACGTTGGCTGCTACTTGAGTTAATATTGTTTTCTCTGTTCACTGAATGACTTAACAGTGGTAGAGCTCGCTTTAAAATCTTCGCTCGAATTGTCCCGGCTCGCCCGGTGAAATACCACGACCACACAGAAGACAGGTGTCAAGTGGAAGCTATTCCAAGTACAGTCTGATGAGTGTGCGTCCCGGAGGCCTAATATAGTCCTCTTTCCCTTCCCATCCTTTTTCTTATAAGGAAAAGATAGGAAATGGAAGTCGACTTTCCGGATGAGAGGATGCCTGGAAAGGGATTATCATAAGATGAAAAACGAGCGAGCGGCCACCTGAAATTGCTAAAATAGCGAAGTGACCGTTGCCCATAGACATACGCAATTGCATATGCGTTGCCTACCTTTAATCCACGGAGGTGAGGATGCACAGAAAGAAATTATTTTCCCTTCCCATGCATCCTCTCATCCGGAAAGTCCACTTCCACTTCCCATCCTTTCCTTATAAGAAAAAGGGTGGGAAGGGAAAGAGGACTAAATTAGGCCTCCGGGACGCACAAAAGACTTAATTGCGTCACTTCTATAAGTTAATAATATATGTGTTTTCAAACGTTACAAAAGGTGCATTAGTTTGATTTATCGATACAAAAATAAGTAGCAAAGTTCAAAATATTACATTCATTCAAGATAATCAGACAATATCGATCGTACCATAGATAAGGGAATACGTCACTAAGATAACCTTACAGACATACAAGGTCAAGAAAGAATAAGTAAAAAAAAACAATAGCTTGAATAGCCCAACTAAGAATTAAATAAAACTGGACTAAGGGCGCTTAAATCGGTTTTTTAATTATATCACTAATAGGCGCAACGAAATTAGTTCCTTATTTTTCCGCGACGGGACACATTAGGTTCATCATCATCAGCTCACTATACGTCCCCACCGAGGGGCTCGGAGCCCACCCTAAGTTAAGGGTGATTAGGCCATAGTCAACCACGCTGGCCAAGTGCGAGTTGGTTGACTTCAAACATATAATTTTTAGTAATAATTATTAAGGTACTAATTTATTTAAAGTTAATTAACAACTATAAATAATAACATTGTATCCTTACGTAATCCAAGGTCATGATCGTAATCAATTTAAAAAAAATCTTACTAATATTTTAAATGCGAATGTTTTAATGGATGTTTGTTTGAAGGTATCTCCGGAACGGCTTAACGGATCTCACTAAAATTTGGCATAGATATAAAACATAGTCTAGAACAACGCATAGATTTTTACTAACTTTTTTTAATTTCGCGCGGACTGAGTCGCGAATGACAGCTAGTCTGTCTACCTATAAAATTAATGCAAATGATGTAATGAATTGTTTGAACAATGTAACAAAATTAATTTCTTATTGTAACATGTTCTTTTTATCTCATAATCTTTGATATAATTATAGAGACCTAGAACAATGAAAGATATACCAAAAAGATTGTGTAACATGCTTGTTCTACCATAAACAATAATCTTTTTAACCGATTTCAAAACGAAAGAGGTTTTAATTTGTTTTTTTTAAGCACCGGACTTTAGTTTTAATACTGGCCATTGGTGAATTTTACTACAAAACTGCACGGATAATTTACTCCAAATCTTGTATCTTAAATTAAACGTAAACGACGCAACACCTTGTTGGGTGCAGATTTTATAAATATTTCCTTTACAGTAAACACTGACCTACAATCGGTCATTACCGTCACGAGATTTTTTATCAAAATCACGCACTCACCATGCGTCTGGCGCTAGTGTCGTCAGACTTAATTATACAGATTATACATTTAAATATGATTCTAATATAAAATAAATGAGTTAGCATATGCCACTATTCCAAACTGTAATTTATCTCTGTTATAAACATGCAGACCGGAAAATCTGCATCTTATCTGTCATCATCATCAGCTCGTACGTCCCCACTGAGGAGCCTACCTATCTTTTCCTTCACCGTAAGAACGTCGGATAAATATACATATGTAAATGCAAATAAATTGGTAGATGGCAGGATTCAAACCCAAGACCTACAGATTATAAGTCACATGCTTAACCCTTAA